CTTCATCAACATTTGTTGTGCCTTCGTATTTCAATCTGGTAATCTGCAGGAAAACACAGAGAATTGGTGCGTTTGTAAATTTATTGTATCATAAATGATTCAGTTAGGTTGTAAAAGTTGCACGCACATGTTTCTCGAGCCATGCAATGAATTGTGTTGACATCATTTTTTCAATAGTGTTGACCTGTTGTTGTTCCAATTCTGCCCTATAAATGCTGCAAAGGAAGAAGTTAATTAGTTTATTGTGACACTAATATTGAATAAAGTTGGTAGAAATGAAATGACAACAATTACTCACTCTTTGTATTCATCAACCTCTTCGTAATTATTTAGAACAAACCAAACCATGGAGTCATAGTCATTATCTTGGTAATGAAGTTTTGAAGCACCCAACAGGTTAATACCATGACCAAAAATAGAGTAATCATTGGGTGAGATGTTCTGTGCTCCATCTAAGTTTCTTTCAGGCCTAATGAACTTAGTAATAATTTCACTAAAATATGTTGAGCATTGGGTCATACACTCATAGGTAGTGTATGCCTCTGCAATAGATCCTTTAGGTCTTGCTTTATTGTGGATGAAACGCTTAAAGGTGCCCAATCTTCTCTCGATGGGATACATCCATCCATACTGAACCGGTCCCCTAAGGAGTGCCTCGTTAGGTAAGTGTACTGCTAGGTGAACCATAACATCGAAGAATGTAGGAGGACAAATTTTCTCCAGTTTGCAAAGGATAATTACAATATCTTTCTTCATCTGGTGCAGTGAATCAACCTTTAGAGTTTTCGAGCAAAGTTGTCTAAAAAACCTACCCAATTCAGCAATTACTTCATATACATCTTTGTGCACCAAACCGTGAAGGCCAGCTTGTAAAATAAGCTGTAGCAGTATATGATAGTCATGTGTTTTCAGCCCATGCATTGTTTCTCCCTCCAAATTGACACATCTTGATATATTAGAGGCATAGCCATCTAGAAATTTAACATTGCTAACAAAATGCAAGAACTTCTTCTTTGCTTCTGGCGTTAGAACGTAACAAGCTTTGGGCTTTGTGGATGAATTACCAGCTTCTTTGCCTGGTGAATTTTTGCCTAGAATAATTAAAGCAAGCATATAATTGGATTGGTCCATACACATCCATGGTGGAAAATTGTATGGAACCACTATCGCTGGTCAGATGCTATATGAATTGGTCATCTGACCAAATGGGTTAAATCCATCAGTAGCAATGGCTAACCTCAAACTGTGGGGATCATCTGCAAAAGACTTGAAAGTATCATCAAATTCTTTCCAAGCTTCTCCATGAGCAGGATGTCTCATTTCATTTTCAACTGGTACCTTCTTATCCTTGTGCCATCTTGCATACTATGCCCGCTGCTTTGAGATAAAAAGTCTTTGAAGGCATGGAATTATTTGAAAGTAACGCAGGACCTTGAGAGGAACTTTCTTTCTGCCCTCCTTATTCACTTTCCATCTTGATTCGCCACAAACTAGGTAATAATCATCATTGGCATGGTCCTTCCAAAATAAGGCACAATCATACTTGGACACATGAATAGAAACATAACCAAAACCAAGCTTCCAAAGTAGAGCTTTAGTTTTGTTATAGGACTTAGGGAGACCGATAACATTCTTCAACAATGTTGAAAGCAACTCAAGGAATGCATTGAACCTAGAATTTGTTATCCGATTGTATACTTTTATATGCAGTAGTTTAATAATGAAAGTTAGTCAAGACTCCTCAGTGCAACCTAGATAAAGTTCATGCTTTGCCTCTTCCATGATTTGTTGATATAAGTTACCACCGAAGCCATGGCTTGTTGCGGTGTACAAATCTTGAATCAACCCCTAAACTCCCCGTGCACTATCTTCTATGACATCTTTAGCTTGTCCTTCATCATCAAGTGGAGACTGGTCATTTCCATCCACAGCGAGTGTGCCACCATCTTGTTCAACATCATTATCTCCCTCTCCATGGTGAATCCACCTTGTATAGCACCTAGAAATACCATTGATGTGGATATCCTCCTCTACCTCATCTTGACTTTTTTGTATTTGGTTCAGGCATCGATGGCATGGGCACTTGATTTCCTCATCTAGACTAAATCTACTTCTGACATGTTCCATGAATTGTTCAACACCAGACATATAGGGATCACTAAATGGTGCGCTGTTATAAATCTAGCCTTTATCCATCTTGACCTGAATAAATTTAGGTGCCACAATGTTACAAATCGAGCTTCTATCCTTCAATTCAATTAAAGGCACTGCAATAACAAATCTAAAGGGGAAGAGCTATGGTTGACTTAGCTCAACTTGTACAATGGCCGGCGAGGCAGCAACTGTTAGCTGGGGTGGTCGGTGAGGCTGCTGGTGGGGGGAAGGGGGGCGAGGCAGCAGGTGGGGGGGGGGCGGCGAGGCACCAGCTGGTCTGGTCGGTGCAACTCTAGCAGGGGTGGTGGACGTCGAGGATGCAGGTGCCTAGGACAGTGAGGCTACTAGTGGGGGGGTGGCGGCGAGGGAGCAGCTGGGGTCACCGGCGAGGTAGCAGCTGGGGTCGCCGACCACCCCTGGTAGGAGGTGGGGTCACCATCGTGGCTCTTGCAGGTGGGGTGGACGGCGAGGCTACAGGTGGGTGGCCGGCGACAAGAGTGGCCGACCAGAGCGCGCGTGGCCGACCTGTGCCCTCTGCTTCTTAGCCACATCATGCTAAGTACCCCGCTTTAATGACATGTGGGCCCTACATGCTAATTAGCCTTGACTACCATGTGGGTCCAACGTTTGAATGACATGTGGGCCCTGCATGCTAATTAGCCTCTCTTGTAATGAATTCATTGTGCAAGCATCATTTCTCTTTTTAATCTATGGCAAAAAAACTTGTAACTAGTATTTCTCCCACATACTAACTCCAAATGTGATGCTTTTTTTTTCTAAATTTTCTAAAATCATGATCTATCAATTTATTGCGTTGATTTGGTCATCTTTTCATGTGGCAAAGTTTGAACAATTCAAAATTTAAATTTCAAAAAAATGAAAACTTTAAACTAGATTTTGAAACTCCAAATGGTTTCAGCTAAAAAAGTCATGAAAATCAAAGTTGTAGAACTCATCAAGATCTACAACTTTTATTTTAGTCATTTGTTTATCCAACAAAGTTATAGTAACCTTATTCATAAATTTTACGTATCTCATAGTTTATGAAACTATAAGAGAGATATGTAAAATTTGTAAATTATGTTACTATCACTTTGTCGGATGAACAAATGACCAAAATAAAAGTTGTAGATATTGATAAGTTGTGCAACTTTTATGTTCATGACTTTTTCATTTGAAATTACTTATTACCTTAAAATTTTGTTCAAGTTCTAATATTTTGAAATTCAAAATTCAAACTGCCCAAACAAAGTCATATGAAAAATGACTAAAATCAAAGTGGTAGATCTTGATGCCTTATACAACTTTGTTTCTAACATTTTTTCCAGTTGAAATCATTTATTACCAGAAAAATCTATTTGAATTCCTAATACTACTAATACGATCACTGACATAGTGGACCCACCGCGCCAGGACCAAAAATTGGCCAGCGCAAGCTCTACCACCGACATAGCAGACCCATCGTGCCAGACCAAAATTTGGTAGCTACACCTCGTAGCTCTCCCGCACTAATTCGCTCACCGACACATGGGACCCATCACGTCTCCCACTCAAGAAGGCCAAATTTCCCCTCGTGGCCGCAGCTTGCCTTATCCTCTTGGCTGATCAGACAATGGGGAAAATCTCCAGTCTATGCAGACCATGGCCTCCTCCTCCCTCCCCTCAACCTAGTGCCGCCACTCGCCCATCCCGCCGTCATACCTCCGTCGATGCCCGGATCTGCCTATCTCGCCGCCACACCAACGCCGGAGGCCAAAGCGACCCATCCCGCCGCTGGCATCCCTGACTCCCTCCGCTGGCTAATCTCCATGGCTTCACGTAGAGCACCATTGCCTCCTCCAGCCGTCGTCTTCCCAGCCCTGGCTTCGTCATGCCGCCGCCGCCACTCCTAGATCCTACTTCAACTTTGATCCGGGCGCACTTCATGGATCCGTTCCTGCCCTCGTCGTGCTTTCAGTGATGCCACCGCCTGTAGCTGCTATGTCCCCAGCCAACCACGTCACGCGTGATCTCCTATCCATAGGTTGGGTGCCTCATCCTCATACTCTTTTGTGTGCTCCTCGTAGTAGGTGATTTGCTTCCTTCACTTGTTAGCTCTAGTAGTAGGTGATTTGCTTCCTTCACTTGTTATCTACGACGACTGGTTGTTATAGTGAGCTGAGATTTTTGTTTTTAGCTAAACATTAGGTTAATGACTTTGAATGCATATATTAGAACATGATGAATTTTGCTGAGATTACAGTTCTTTTCTTTCTAGTTTCTAATTTTGCCTTGTAGCTATGGCAATTTGAAAGCCAACCCTAATGCAAATGCCATTTCCAGTAGCAGCCATTTGCAAAGCCATCTCACTACAAGCGCCAGCCAGACCACATAAACTACAAACACAGTGCCTAGTTCTCCAAGATTCACCAGGTCCAGTGCAGCCATGTCTTCGCCTGGTCCAAACAAAGTGCCTAGTCCTCCTAGATTCACCAGGGCTAGTGCAGCCATGTCTCCGCCTAGTGCAAACATAATGCCTATTCCTACCAAACCCACTGCTAACCTGTCTTAGCAACCTACTCCCAAAAACAGTGTTAACCGAATAGTTCCTACGAACAACTCACCAGGTGGACAAAGCTCTAGGCAAAGCAATGACATCAATGAGTCGGCTGAGCAATTTGATGTTGCTAATTCAAAGGGTCATACAACTGAAGGAGAACCAGTCCATGACTCAGTTCTAGGTAAACAATATGTGTTTCCAAGCATTAGTTTCTCCATTCATTATCTATAATTGGTACTACTATAATAAAACATTTCTATTATTATTTACCAATGCAGCACCCCTAAAGAATGTCTTCAAGAAAACCATGGGTCATGGCTTAGAGAAGATGATTAATAGAGGAAAGAAGCTGGCTATCGAGGTGGCTGAAGGGAAGAAAAGACCTGAGGTCCCACTTCAAGCCGCAAAGCTGGCATCAGAATGTGGTGTTGCCCTTAGAGATAACATGCCTATCTACACATCTTGGAAAGAATATGATAATGAGCAGGGGTAGGTAGAAGTATCAAAAGTGCTTAGGAAAGTGGCGGTGAGACAGCTATTTCATTCTTCCAAATTTTTTCATGCATTACAATACTCCCATGTGAAAATTGTGTCTAATAATTCATTTGTGTGGCTTCAATCAAGGTTGGATGTGGATGTTAGGAATGAGGGACCAAGCAAGGTTGCATGCACTGATATCATTAAGAGGAGAGTAAGGCAGCAGAGGCATCACCTTAAAAGGAAGTACTTCGATGACTCACTGACAAGAGAATAGCTATTGGCCAAAGAACCTCCACCTAAAATGAAGAAGAGGAATGGATCCAGCTGGTTGAGTACTAGTGTGACCCAAAGAATCAGGTCCATGCCTGGATTATCTGCTTTTGTTAATATGCAATGCAAATTATGCATGTGAATGAAACCTCTGTATTGCATTTGTGGTGCAGGAGAAATGTGCTAAGAATAAAGTAAACAGAGGCCAAGTGCAGCTTCACCAAAGGACTAGATCTAGGCCCAATATTGCCCATCGATACAACCTGGTATGGATACTATTGCTTTCTGTGTGTTCCAATTATAAGGAACTGTGTGCCATTAATTAGTTCTTGCACTAAAATGTGAAATGTTATGGAGACAAACCTGATTGCCTGATGTTTGGTTGGATCCAATATGTGTGCCATTAATTACTTAGGCTTGTGAAGCCTGACAAGTATTGAAGAACAACAGCATCTGGACATTGATGGTGTTCAGCCATATAAACTATCAGTAGATGTGTGCTTCATAGTTTAGTACAGCCTGTTAGTATGTCTTTTGTATAATTAGCAGGAAAGATGGGACATTTGTAGCATAGTAATTAGCATGTGCTTTTGAAGTGTCAAGTTAGCACGTGTTGTATGATTTCTCATAATATTTGAGAAGCACAAAAGTATTCCTCCAAGATTGTTGCTAACAGTCTAAGCCAGATCAGCCGTTCATCCACCTTCCTTCTAAACATTGGTGTCGCTCGAGTGTCGAAGACTGCCTGGTCTACATCGACAGTTGCAGAAGCATGCCTGCAAGCACAGTTTGAGGCAACACTCCAAGTAGAAAGAGAGGAAGCTACTAGGAAGTAGGAACAGTTGGAAGCACAACTTCTTGCTCAGCAGGCCTCACTTGAAGCCAACCAAACAACACTTGAAGAAAACCAAAATTTGCTATGCCAGACCCAAGAAGTGAAGGGGATGCATACCAAGTTTGAAGAGACTAATGCACTACAGCAAGCTATGCTAAACTTCAAAAAGATTGAGGTAGGTCTGAATGTAGTTTCGGTTGATGATGCCTTTGCCTAAGCTTTTGCTGCCTTGCTAGAACACCAAACTTTCTCTGTTGTTGGAACTTTGTGCACTGTGTTGTCAGAACCTATGTCGAACTTATTTGCATCTATGTGTATGTTTGAACCTGTGTGATGGAACCGTTTGAACCTGTGTGATGGAACCTAGAACTAGTGTGATGTGTTTGAACCTGCAAGCACTGTGTCTTATTCTCTGGAATGTATGTGGATGATGGCTTGGCTGAAATTTGTATGCTTTATGAGCTCTGATGAGAATGCTGGAAAGATATATCTAACATTGGTCATTGAATTGATACATATATTTGAGCCACGTTCATCATCGAATGAAAGGAAAATTTATGACGACCTAGAGTCGTCTCAAGATGTCTCTAACTACCTTACATAACAAGACAAAATGAAAATGTCACAAAATCTGCATAATTATATATGACGCTACCGTATCATCACAATAAGTTGTCTAAATCAGGGTTCCAGGACACAATTTATGACGGTTGGCGTATTAGGTGATGAGTTGACCAACCAATATGTGACAGTCACAATCGTCATTAAATGACAACAATATATGATGACACAACAAAACCGTCACAAAAGGTCATCACATTTTGTGATGGTTTTCCATATTTTCGTCACAAGGTACATTTTGTGACAGTCGTTATATGACGACCTTCACGACGGTGGTTTTTCGTCATACCATTCATTTTGTGACAAATTCTGTACTTTCCATGACACTTTCATTTTGTTATAAAAGCCCAAATTTTTTTGTAGTGAATCCGATTCAACATGCAAGAACAAAGAACATTGATGTCTGCTATCATTTCATAAGAGATCACCAACAAAAAGAGGATATATGCATTAAGAGTGTGGGCACCGATGATCAACTTGCCGACATCTTCACCAAGCCACTTGATGAGAAGAGGTTTTGCAAGCTAAGGAATGAATTGAACATACTTGACTTATCAAATATATGTTGATGCACCCCCATTATATGACATGCCTTTCCTTCGAGCAAAGCAAGGTAAAGTTGGTTGACATATCATTCATCCATTGCTAAAGACTTGTTTAGTGCATTTAGTCATTCCTATCATGTCTTAAACTCATTCATGAAAATCAAATGAATTTGATGCTTGTATGGTAGCACTACTGTTTGTATGCTTGAAATGATCTAGTGGTAGTATATGACATGTTTGTGGGCTTGTGAACCTAGTGTTTGATCTAGAAAATGAGCTATGGGTGTTTAACTCAACATAGTGCATGATAACCCTTATTTGGAGGTGTGAAGAAGCTTGCCCTTGGATCAAACCGAGTTAAATATCTTTTGCAAATGATCTAGATTGAACCAAATTGAGAAAATGATCTTCACTTCACATGGTTTCACCCCAACCTATCTAGAATTTAAGCTCACCTTTTGTGCTAATTGTTGACAAAGGGGGAGAGAATTCACAAAGATAATAAGAAATAGGGGGAGCAAACAAATGAAATGACATTGTAATGGGATCAATTAAAATTTGAAGCACATAAGTAGGGGAAGCAAGCTCATAAACTTATATGTTGCATTTGTATGTGCATTACATATGTTTGCTTGTATGGCACAAGTTCTAAATTCCCTATTCATGCTTGTGTGGTGTATGCTAGATCATAGAAAATGTATGATGAAATGAAAAACTAGCATGCATAGAATAGCTAGACACTTAAATTGTTCTTACAAGTAGTACTAGAACCTTGCTTATAATTTTGATCTCACGAGGTAACTAGTTCTTTGTTGTTTTTCAAGTGGTATCTAGAAAATCATGGTGCTAAGGATGGTGTTCAAATGACAACTCCGATTGGTATCACGCTTCAAAGGTCCATTCTTTACACCTTAGCATCATTTGGTAGCTATTACTTTCCCAAACTTTTAATTCATGCATATGTGCAAAGCTTTCAAATCCAAACTCTTAGCACATATGTAAGGAAGCTAATACTACCAAATTGGGTTGATGAAACTTGTCCATAATCTTTACACATGGTAATATGCTTGGGCAAGTGACATGAATCCAAAAAGAATTTATTGAATATCTTTGTAAATGGGTTGTCATCAATTATCAAAAAGAGGAAGATTGAAAGACCTAGTTTGGTTTTGGATAATTGATGAAATCTAGCACTAACCTTTGTCATGAGTTGTGATATGAGCTAGGTTGGTGCAATCCAAGTGTTTGAGCAAGATGAGGTCCATGGTGATGAAGGTGGACATGAAATGATGATGATCAAGCTCAACATGGAAAAAAAGAAAGAAAAACAAAAACTGAGACGACCAAGCCAAAGGTATATGATAGGTTTTTGTTTTGAACTCAAGACACCACAGAGGGTGTGAGTGACTTATGATCGATAGCCATACTATAAAGAGGGAAAATCTTTAGCTAAATGGTTTATCGAGTGCCACTAGGTGACATGACTTTTGCATATGCATTTAGGAACCTAGTGTGCTAACTTTAACCCTTGTAAAATGCCTCAAAAAATTGCTAACACACGTGCACACAAGTTCTACACTTTGTGGTTAGCAAGTTGGAAGCAAAGGCGAAGTGTTTGAGGAAATAGAAAAAGAAAAGACGGTGTCGGTCCCTGATGGGACGCTGCACCGGACGCTGGACTTGACTCCAGCACAGCGTCTGGTCATCGCGCGTAGAGAAGTAGTATGGCGATCGAGCGCGATCGGATGCGCAGGCTCTGAGTCAGGTGCATGCTGATGTACGGTGACGTCGGCCTCGCGTGCGCGTGCAGAGTGAAGAAGAGCTGACTGGACACTAGGGCACGTTAGGTCAACGTTGACCTGATGCGAGCGGTCACTATTTGTGTGTTCTGGATCGTCTCTGGAAACAATCGGACTCAGCTTCGTGCGGCGTCAGGTCGCTTGAGCTGCGCGTCCAATCGTCACTTAATGCACGAGCGTCTGAAACTTGACCGTTGGGATCTGGCGGCTGAGGTTTGAAGGGAGGCGACACGTGGATGGCTGTGGATGATTGGACGCTGGCGCCCGCGTCAGGTCATGATCCACCTGTGCGTCCGGTCTGGCCAAAAAAGCAGAGAGCCGGGGGACAACGGCTCTTTCATGGTTGGCACCCTATTTAAAGGTCTTGGCCGGCCGTTGGCTCACCCTCTTGGTACTTTGACATACTTGACATCCTTGTGAGCCTAAGCAGACACCTTCTATTCATCTTTATCATTGATTCATCATCATAGTAAAATTAGGAGTGATTACAAGTGCATTTGCTTCAGTGATTGCATCTAGTGACACTTGTGGATCGTTGTGGCTGTGGATTTCTTGTTTCTCTTGGTGGTTGCCGCCACCTAGACGTCTTGGAGCAGCGGAGGAGGATTGACACGAGTTGGTGATTATTCGTGGCCACCTCTCGATGATTGTGAGGGGTCTTATACCTTCCCCGGTGGAGAGCCGAAAGGTAACTCTAGTGGATTGCTCGTGTCATTGAGTTAACTGACTTGTGGGTAGGTTTTTCGGTGTCCAATTGTGTGGATGAGGTTTGTGCAACACCTCTTAGCCGTCGAACCACCAAGTGTTGGTCGACACAATGGGGACTAGCGTGCTAGCAAATACGTGAACCTCGGGAGAAAAATTGATTCTCTCTTGCTCTTTGGTATTCTCCCGGTGATTGAATTGGTATTCATCATATGATTGGTTCACTATTCTATGCGGCGGTATAATCACCCTACTCACGTATTTACATTCCCGCATACTAGTTGTAATAAGTTCTTTAGTGTAGCTAGAATTAAGAGCTTGCTTTGTAGATTAAATTCATCTAGTGGAGTTTTTAGTGTAGCAAGTGTGAGAGCTATTAGTGAAAAGTGGCTTATCCAATTGTGTGCTTAGTTATTATAGTAGCTAGAATTGTTAGATAGGTGATTTGTAATCTTTGTAGGGCTAGAGCAAGTTTGTATTTCGCTATTTGTCATACTAATCTAATTGCTCTAGTAATTTTATAGATTTTTAAATAGGGTATTCACTGCCTCTAGCCATATTAGGACCTTTCGGATGGTTAAAAAAGTTACTAATAGTAGCCATCGTTAATTATAAATTTGGCAAGATCTAATAAACTTCCAATCTTTTGTTCATATCTTGTATCTAGGGCATGTTTGGCTCGTTGCCACAACTTGCTGCAACGTAATCAGGCATGCCATAACACGTTTGGCTCCTGCCCTACTTGGGGCGTGCAAAAAAAAAACACGTCATGCTCTAGTGTATTTGTGCCAAAGCTAGCTAAATGTATGTAGGGGAATTTGAGTGCCGCACTTTAGGCGCAACTTCCACTAAGAAGAAAATTCATTAATAATTTGAATAAATTAGTTAATTGAATTTATAAAATGTTTCATCGATATCTGATGCTATTTCCATCTGTTGCTGGCTTTTTTTGTGGAAGTGGCCAGCTTGGAATTTTATTTTGGAGATACTAGAGATAGGACATTTGGACGCACGCCTGCGTGCCTGGCCGTCATCTTCGTTTCATGCGCGTTCGTGCGTACGCGGGAAACGCCGCATCTCCATCCCGGTATAAAGTTGTAGATCACATCAAGAGTTATAACTTTTATTTAGAAAGTATCTCCATTTAATACCATATAAGAAAGATACAATTTTTCTAAGGTGATAAGCAATTGTACGTGATTAATATACTGCTAAAACTTTTGTTCAATTTTTTAGTATCTTAATGACTTTAAATTAAAAAACTCAAAACAAGAAAGTTGTAGATCTCATCAAGGGCTACAATGTTCATATAGATAGTATCTTTATTTGACACTATATATGAGAGATACGATTTTTTCAAGGTGATAAACACTTGTACGTAATTGATATACTGCTAAAATTTTGTTTAAATTTTTTGAGTATCTTAATGACCTCAGATTAAAAAACTTAAAACTAGAGAGTTGTAGGTCTGGTCGATTGCTACAACTTTCATATATAATGTATATTCATTTGACACCATATAAGAGAGATACTATTTTTCTAACGTGACAAGCACTTGTACGCGATTCATATATTGCTGAAACTTTGTTTATTTTTTTTTGAGCATCTTAATGATCTCAAATTAAAAAACTCAAAACTAGAAAGTTATAAATCTCGTCGAGAGCTATAATATTTATATAAAATAATTTTCATCCAAGATAGTTTAAAAAAAATACAAGTTTTTTAAGGGTGCACCTTGCCGCGTGTTGGCGTGACGCTACAGCATGTTGCGCCAACGGGAGTGGCACATCAAGTATTTTCATGTGGAAGTCGTCGTCCGACGTGGTAGATCGTGTGCGGCGATGCATATGGCGCGGCAGAACGGGTTAAATTTGAAAATAAAAAAAATAACGGTGTTAGATTTGGAATTTATTTTAGAAAAATGTTAAAAATAAAAAAAATTCTCCACTTAAGTAGGCGTTGGGGTTTCTGGTTTCTCTTACCTGGTAAGTCTGGCCTAAATATGAACCACCTCCGTCACAGAAAGAATGTAAATCTCGCTTTTCTTTAGTGTAGGTGTAAAATTATGCATTTACCCCTCTTTATTATTATAGAAGTGGTTGTCTTATAGAATATTTTTCTTATGGACGGTAGTTTTTAATTATGTAGAAATATTTTTAATTGATGGGTTTTATTGAAAAGGTGATATCTAACTCTACAATTACATATTTTTTTAGACAAGATATGAACATTAGAATTATTACGGAGGGAGTATAACTGATGGCCCGACTGTCTGCGACTCAGTGTTTCTCAGGTAGTAGGCCCCATTCCATTAGCTTTTTATCCACTCCCACAGTCCAGTTCACAGACAGTCCACACGACCGCCGATCCCACCCCATGCGTGCTTTCCTGCAGAAACTCCCAATGGCCTGCCGCCTCGCCCTCGCCGGCGCCACCGCCACCGCCACCGCCGCCGCTGCCCGCGCCCCCCGTCGCGCCGTGATCGCCGCCGCCTCCGCTTCTTCCGCCGGAGAACCCGCGCGTCGCATCATCCGCCGTCGCGCGCCACCGGGGCAGCAGGGCTCTGCGACCGCGCCCCCCGCCCAGCCGTCCGTCGCGGAGGTGCGCCGCGCCATCGGCGTCTCCGACGACGATGCGTCGGCCGCCGCATCCATGGAGGCGAAGAACTCCGCGTTCATGGACCTCATCGCTACCACGCCCATCGGGAAGCCGGAGAGCGAGCCCGAGCGCCGCCTCCGCGAGGCCGCCGAGTGGGTAGTCGACAACACTGAGACGCGCGCTTGCGAAGGTGATGATGCCCCCACCATTTCATCCATACCAAGCTACTGTACCTATCATTTGGTGCTAATTATTATTATTGCAATTGTGAATCCACAATATATAAGCTAAAGCTATAACTGTAGGATTCGGACTGAAATTGCTTCCTTTTGTTCTCATCTTTGTTTTTTTCAGGACAGAAGTCTTTCTTAGTGCTATGCATGATGACATTTCCTGCGTGGTTCTTGCTCATGTTTATTGCCCTTGGAGTCATAAAGTTACCATTTGATATTCCAGTTCTGGATAATCTCCTAATGTAAGGTGTTAGTTATTATTATTTTTCCCTTTCTTTTCCAATTATACGAGCTTCAGACACTGAATATGAAAATAAATAGTATGTCACTACTGAAGTTACCCACACCCTTTGTTAATTATAGTTCACCAAGGATGAAAACAGTCGAACTCGGTCGAAAAACTCCTCAACCGTTTTCTACTTTTACATTTGAAATACGAAAGCGAAAGCGAAAGCGGACAAGCCGGACATGAAAAACGAACACGAACTTACGGAATATCTAGAATTTCGGAAACGAACCAATTCGAAATGAATTATATTAACACTACGGTCGGTATGTGAAAATTCAATACGAAATACCGACCCACAAAGCATAACATTAAACAAGTGCACGACCAAATACATAACAAGTTCACAACTAATAAGTGCATGATCTAGTTCAAGTGCATAGCATTAAACAAGTGCACGACCAAATACATAATAAGAGAGATGAGGTTTGGCGCCGCCTATAAAAGAGGGCAGCTAGCCACTAGTAGAAAGAACACAATTGCAAAGTGAAAGAGCAGCTATGTAATTGGGTCATGATGACTGTCTTGGCCAAATTCGGTTTAAATCGAATTTTGAATTCGGAATATTTCAAATTAAAAGTAGAAAAGTAGAAAATGGTCGAAAAATGTGTAAACCGTTTTCTACTTTTACATTTGAAATACGAAACATCTCAAATGCGAAAGCGAAAATGGTAAAGTCGGACAAGAAAATGCGGATTCGATCGGATTAAATATAGAAAACGATACGGTTCGGTTCGTTTCGGGATATTTTCGTTCCGTTTTCATCCTTATAGCTCACTTTGGCTTTATGCTAAGTCAAATATCTTTTCAGTTCAATTAAGTTTATAAAAAAAGCCACCAACATCTACAGGATCAAATTAATTTCATTAAATTATCCATGAAATATGTTTTCATAAACTGTATATGTTACGATATTTTTTTTTTCTAAAAACTTGGTCAAAGTTAGAGAAATTTGACTTTGGACAAATCTAAAGGGAACTATATTTTGGAATGGAGAGAGTATATTGTAAGTTATAACTAAGTCTGTAGACAGTAGTTGTGTTTCCCGTTTGTCTCTATACAACTGGAATTGCTATATTTCTTCATAGGGAATAAAGTGAAATTATTTTTTTTGCTAGAGTTGTTATTTATGTGATGGGCAGAATAACTTGCTATCTTGAATAGTTTGGCAGTATTACAAGTAATTGAACCACTCTGCCATCGCCTTCTGTCTTGTGCGGTTGTGCCTTTTTCACAGCATCCATGACTTCGTCAACAGTCGCTTGCTCTTTATTATGTATTCTAAACCAAACTCTTCAGCTGACGCATTCATGAGTTATAATAGTTTGGTATAATAAATCTTGCTTCCTTGTCAAGTAACTTAACTAATCATCCAAATAGTGCTGATTCTCTGTTATCTCCATCTCCACTTCATTAACCTGAATCATTGTATCATGTGCCACTCACTGAGGTTGAATGTAGTTGCCTCCCTCCTTCTCCTTCTACCTCCTCTGTGCATTGTCCTACATTCTCACAACACCCATCTCTCTTCCATGGTTCTCTGTAGACCCACCTACTCGACTTCACTGTTTTCACTGGCTGACCCTGCAATCCTGGTTGCTGCCGCAGTAATCCTGGTTTGCTGACAGTATCCATCCCCTGAAACTTATATCCAGTTTGGAGTGACCTCTGTCCTCTCCCTCTCTGATCTCTCTGACTATGTTTAACCCATACGTAATCCAACTATCAGAGCTTGGTCACCAACCACTCTCAATAGCCATACTCGCTAGCTGCAAATCCTCTTCTCTCCATATTTCTTAACCAAGTTCTGTTGCTTGCACCATTCAGCATTTATGGACAGCTTGTGTTGTCTGTCTCCTGTTCTATCCAGCTGAGCTTGGTCACTAGTGGCGGGGAGAGTGTTTGGATGAATAGATTTTGATGATGAAGCAAGGTTGGTTAGCTATTTACTGCCATGAGCTGATGCAAAAACATTATTATATGTTTTAGAAACTGGTTGACAAATAGCGCCAAGAGCACAATTTCCCTTCTTTGGACCATATGCTGCAATTCTTCTTGGTCTTCTAGTTTAATTTGAACTATGGGTACCCTATTTTATAAATTTGGTTTCTGAATGAATTAATGAAATGATTCTGGCAGTACATATGCCCTGGCATGCATTTGAAGCAGAAATAGGCGTATTTTCAAATACGTTCTGATACTGTGTATTTTATGATGAAAACAATACCTATGGCATAAATTTTATACATCTGAAAAGCTATGAAGGGTGTAACTGGTGTTTTTTTATTCTCGGTCACGCAGGAGTGCTGCAAAGAAGAGAATTACAAACCCCCCTTCCCCCCAAGGAAAACAGATTAAATTCATGCCTGTAAAATTGTAAAAGGGCGACCCAACCTAGTAACCTAGTTACCCAAACTAGGGGCTGTGATGAAAGATAGCCCCTTAGGTCCTGCCATACCCCAGAGCTGGGACGCCTCACCAGCAAGGGAGAGGGCCGTGGAGAGATTGTAACTCCAATTAAAACACAGTCATCCCTGTGTTTCCAGAGAATCCATGCACCCAAGATGATTAGGGAGTTTAAACCTTGCTGGGTGGGGCCACTCACAGATGAAGCAGCTTTTTTCTTTGGGTAAACACAGCTGAAGCAGCTCTGCACCACCTGTCATCAAATGAATTCTCCCTTGGTTGAGGAGAAAGGATGGTGAGGCCCACTCTCAGTAAGTAAAACCAGATTTGGCAGGCAAAAACTAGACACTAAGACATGCCGAATAGCCTCGTGTTTCGGATGGTTAAGACCTTGCTGCGCCGATCCATCTGTTGTCCAACATTGGTTGTGCGCCACAAACCAGAGGAAGAACCGGCATTTAGCTGGTGCCCAAGACTTCCATATCCGCTCCCAATGGCCAAATAGACAGCACCTTGAAAAAGAGCATCATAGGCTGACTTGGCTGTATATTGGCCAGATAGGCACCATACATGCTTATGATCTTATCTGTCATATCTTATTGGAGCTGCAGCTCGGCAATCAAATCCCATAGAGTAAGGAAATCAGCAATGGCACCCTCTGTCAAAGCACCCTGTAAGTCATGAATGCATTGATGGTTTGTGAGGGTTTCCAGCACCATTCTCTTATTTGCTCTTTTGGGCACCAATTCAAAGAGGTGAGGAGCTAAATCCTCAATATGTTGCTCAAGCAACAACTTGTCTTTCCAGAAGATAGTACTGGTGCCATCACCAATCTCTGTAATCACCGCCATGGAGAAAAGGGCTTGAATACAGCTGCCTGTTTGAATTGTGAATGTTGACTATGGTATTGGGCTGTCTTTTGTAATCACTGCCATCTCACTCGAAGTGCCTAGCCAAGAGATTTGAGACCCGAAACACCTAGCCCGCCAAGCTCTTATGAACGGCACACTTCGGGTAAAGCAATTGAACAATTACCACCTTTGTCTTCCTTCCTTCCACGCAAGTAAAACCTCTTCTGATTTTATCAATGGCCTTAATAGCCCAGGGAGGAAGATCAATCGCCATTGCAAGATAGATGTTGGTGCAAATCCAGGCCACACACCAAAGTGCTAGTATGCACAGATCGCATGAAGATCACCTCACGAGGGACTCAGCAAAGCCTGGCCTATCTAGTTCTGAACTGGGCTTAGCCGGTGTTCACAGGAAAAAAAACCTACAAATGCCTCCTGGGAAGGAGCCCATTGGGGAGGCATACCTAGGGCTATTGTAGGGTTGGTAGGCCACCTAGAACGCCCTCAAAGGCCACTGAGATGAGTGAAGAACAGAAAATAATGGGGTTACAATTGGAAAAGATAAAATAGTAAATTAATTTTTTTGATTGGTTGGATATCCCCAATCGTCTGTGATCCTTTATATTTATAGGGTGGCGAGGTCTTACCCCACTTGGAGATTGTATACACATGAATTCCACACGAATCTCCAAGTTCTACTAATAGGTCAAACCGGCTTAGCTGACATGCAAACCTGGCTTAGCCGGTTTGCTCAGGAAACCTATATCAAGGCTAACTCTGGTCGCCATCGATAGAAAACTTGAGCAGGGTGTAACTGGTGGTTGCGATGAATCATGTGAGGTGGCATGAAATATGGCCTTTAGCTCTTGATATGCTGTACAGATGTTGGCTGTGCTCTAATATGAATACGTAAGCGATTTGGTATGACATTTTCTGCTATGAGATATTATTAGATGATTAGTTTGTGAAGTGTCTCAAGTCATATGATGTAGGGTGTTATCATGTCAAATGCCCTCAATGTTCTATGTGTTGTATAAACAGATTCACAAACAGAAATTAGTTGTCAAGTTTGACTTCTCATGATGCCTATTTTTTCTATGTTGCACAAGCATAAACATATGGTGATGGTAATTGTTTACTCCCTGTTCATTTATGACATATTTTTATGTGTAAATTGCTTTGTTGGATCTCTTATAGATTGCTCCCTTGTCACCGAGCAAGTTATGATACCTGGCATTTTGTTGTGTCCCTTTTCTGTTTGACTGGTGCGGTGATCCTTACAGTAATTTGAATGTAAAAACCAACTTGTTCAATATAACTTTTTAATCTAATGATGCAATTGTAAACATATCAATTGCAAGTAAAACCTATTGGGTAAGTGTTTGCACAAGGGGTTGTTCTGTGTCCTTTTATCCATATTGGATCAAAGTTGAAACTGGCAGCCAGGAAGTAACAAAACAGTAGAATATAAGCTCATAAGCATTCTCTCTTTGTTTAATAATGCACTTACAAACTTGCTGCTTTTCTTACTACTAAAAAGCTACCTTTAACTATATTTTTTTCTGAGGGGTAGGAGGATACTTACGCCTATCTTGTTCTAACTGGATTAGGCTAGTAACCTGTTCTTTTACCTTTTATGCTTCTCACTTAAAACTTCTGTTGAGAAATTGAAGATATAGTATTTAGTTTCATGCAGTTTACAT